GTCCGTTGAGCGTAATTAAACCAAAGAGTGTCCTCCCTAAATTACAAAATTTATGTTGCAATACGAGAACGCAGTGCTAAAGCTTGCCACACGTTATCCTGAGCCCCAGACCAATAACTACTGCGTCAACGGAATTGCCACAGCCAAGCCCACAGCACAGCGCGCTGATCATCTCAATATCTGCACACCAATTTTCTGTTTCCCCTCCGTCGAGGCGCAGAAGACGAGCAGCCGCCTCGGCTCACGCTGATGTGACACGACCACGACACATGGACTGAATGGTTGGCCTGGCCGTGAAGGACATTTTCGTTTGGCGTCTGGCTGAATTACAGACAGCTCAACTCCGCTGCCTCTCGGCCCCAGACCGGCTCCGCGGGTCCAGCTTCCCCAGTGCCAACCGGCGAGCCACCCATCAACAGCCTTGCCCATCTGGCCCCCCACATTTCAAGATGTCCCCCATCGTCCATTGTCGCAGCCCCCTCCCAAAGCCCCTGACGTGTTGTCCCTTTCCCCCCGCGATCTGCGGCTCCCCGCGGGATCTGCCCACGGCCGACCCGCTAGGCGCCGCGGCACGCCGCATGGCCGCCATGACGCCCGCACGCTGCCCACGCGGGCGCAGCCACGTGGCCGGTAAGCATGCGTGCGCCGCCATCAAGGCCACCAGGGGGCCCAGGAACCAATGCACGCGCTCCTGGCCGATCTTAGCAGTGCAGTGCTGGCATGAATTTTGTCGAAGGGTGTTGTTGTCGATCGCCTGGCGAAGCAATGCTGGGAGTGGCGCACTGCGCTGGGCGGGCTGTGGATTCCGAAGCGAACTTTCGGGCGCGCCTATCCGTTTGGCGGAAAAATCTGGTGCACCAGGTCGTTGCAACCTGGCAAGCCTTCGCACCGAAGAACGCCGGCTTGGTTCCGCCGGATGAATGGGGCCGGCAAATTCTTCCTGCTCAATCGACCCATCTGAAAAGCATGCGTTCGTGAACCGAGAAGGGTTTCCCATATTTGGTGCAGGTCCGATGGCGTTGGGCGGTTCCTTGAGGCAGGGGGCACTGCCGGCCGCGCCCATTCCCAGAATTCTGGCGCAGGCGCGGAGGCCGGGGCGGATCGGCGGCCGCAGCGGTGCGCCCGCGGGGCTGGTCCCGAAGCAGGTTGGACGCCCGTGCGCGGTCGAGTGGGTGCCGCAGCCCGCGCAAGGCGGTTCTGAGGTCGCGTTAGTCATCATTGTGTGGGGTGTTTTGGAGTCAGGGACAGGGGGAGGTCGGCGAAATTGTGGCAACCTGCGGGGTGCTGAAACTTGCACGGCTGCGACCAACCGCCTCAATAAGTGCGAAACGCCACATGCTCCATTTTTATTATGCTTATTTGCGCATAATGTACGTATTATCACACCACTGTTGTATTCATGCCGGCGGGTGGTGAGCTTATCGCCAGCTTGACGTTTTGGTGCCATGTCAATGGTTGAAAGCAAAACTGCATGGCTCTGAGCCGTGCAGAAGGAATTGCCATGGATCAGTTATTGAGTCATTAAATGGCCCGTGGCATTTCTTTTTCATGAGAACCGTCCTGATTCGTTGAATATGTTGCAATTGTTGGGAATAACAGGCCAGCATGATTTGTTAAGGACAATGGACAAAAGTTTGAATTGCTGCACTCGCTTGCAATGAAGCGACAGGGACATTCTATGACTGGAATCGTGAAAAAAAATCCGGCCACATTAATCAGTGCATTATGCCCAGAAGCTTAGACTCGTTTGTCTTGGGTAGCATCAATGTGCCCTCAGGGAATCTGTTATGTTCCAGTTGTCCCAAAAAACTGTCCTCGCTGGAAATGACAGGCATGTTGCTGTGGGCATTTCTTGGCCCAAGTGCATGTGCGTCCCTATTTGTTGGTGTTCTCTGATTCCTGCAGCAGCGATGTGTTTGCCAACATTTCTGTGAAGCCAGAGCCACTGCGTTATTTTGAAAAGGACCAAGAGCTGCAAGGTTACAAATGCGGCTATGCAGATCTGTAAACCGTCGACTGATCTGACCAGATCTGTAACTCGACGCCGCAGACGTCTGCCAGCAGTCTGGGTTGTTCCGGGACCATCATCAAGCATGCTACCGCCCACTATATTATTTGTAGCATACCCTCAAAGCCAGAACCAAATTGCAACAAAGTCTGCCACTGTAAAGGCACTGGACGACAATTACGTTCTCCAGTGATCCATCTTGTCAGTTCACCGTCTGTTGCGAACTCCCGGTCATGGCTACTGAATAGGATACCATACAGCAGTTCTTGCCTGTTTCCTTCCAACCAATGGGATCCTTGAGAGGCAGTTTGGGCCAGGGATGCTTTCAGGCAGCTCTTGACATGGGAACAACCAGAGGTGAACGTGTGGCAAGTTGGTGTGCAGATTGTAGCCTGATCGACAAAGGTTCACAAGAATGGGCCTGACACTTGGCCATCCCATGTAACTATGCTCACAAAACCTGCTGCAACGGTCAGAAAATGTGTCAGACGCTTATGTGCAGTTTGGACTGAAAATATTGAGCCTACCATCCAGGAATACAATACCCTGCTCTTGTGTCTGAGGGACGCGAAGGACTCCGTACACGATGCACAATGAGTATGACCATCCATGGCTAAATGCAAGTCATTGCAATCCCAGCATCTGACAAACAGGTATTTGTTGCAGCCTGTTGTTGCACAGCCCAGAGAGGTGTGTCTAGCAGCGGCCACAGGAGGGTCTGCAGAATCAGCAGATGAAGGTACGCTTTTCTGGCTTCTTGAGCAGCAAGTTTGCCAAAATCAATAGTCGAATGGATCGCACATTTCATGGCTTGAAATTTGAGGCACTGGCCAGGTCGTTCTTCAACAGTGAGGAAATGGATACAACGTGATGCACCACTATACCTAAATTGGTGGCAAGCCCCAAGCATGCTGGGTTGCTCAAGCAAGACTGGCATACTGACCTTTGGTCAAAGCGAACAAGTGTGTTTGTTCGATGTTTCATGCCATTGGGGCCCTCAGTTCTTGGTCAGTTGACAGCACAAAAATGTGTGCTTTGCCACCCCTATGAGGGCGAAACCCTTGTTCAAGGATGTTGCAGTCCACTACCATGGTGTCGACTTTCGTGTAACCATTCATTCCCATGTACACCCTTGGTTTAATGTCACATGGCTTGCAAAACAATAGCAGCTCTCTTGAGCACATGGATGATGATGACAGATGCTGCCCCTGTGCTGATGACACAAGTCAGTGGGAGTACCATCAGGAGAACAGAATTCCTGTTGGGCAACTACTGGCCTCGGGCTATGAACACACGATTTGGGCTTGTCATGGATGACAGATAGTCGATTTTGGTACACTCTACATCAAACTGACACCAGGGAAACTTCTTTGCATTGCACGTCTTCTTGCACCGGGAGACTCCACATCATCTTCCCACAGTATGTAACTGAGTTTCACACTCCAGGAAGTGGTGCCCTTTGTATGACCTTCTTTCTCTTGTGTGTGACAAACCCCCTTTTCTTCTGGGCCCTGCGAAACGCATGGAAAATATATTGGCTAGCAGGTTGTGCCGCCCAACCTGGGCCCGTTTGGCATGATGTGGTACGCACGACATAAATAATGGTCTGCCAAAGAACGAGGAGCAGAAACGGAACGCTGAAATTTCGAAATGCGAAAGGGCTGAATATTCTTGCAGCCAAGATATTTCGTACAAGCCAGCAGCGGGGCGGGGTTGGTCCTCATCTTGGCCTGTGTCCATTCTGCGACAACTGCGCGATTTTCCTGGCGTCCATTTGACGTCAAGCGCACCATATTCGCGACAGTACCGCCGGCATGAAATTGGTCGCTCTGCCTTTTCCGTGAAGACACCTTGTTTCGGAAACCATAAAACCTAAACCACTGACCCACTGACCGTCGTTGGCCTTGTCAGCAGAAGAAAAGGGGTCCTCTCGGAAGACGGAGAGACCAATGTATTCTCAGTGCCGGCCCCTCCGTGCGGCACCCACAGCGGTCGCTCATTGCACAGTTAGCCGCGGTCACAGCTCCTGGAACAGGCACCGGAATTTCCTGCCTTTTGGCCCCCCACGGCCCCGCGACTTCAACACAGCGGCCGGCCTCTCAGACACGCCTTCCAGGCGTAGCGGTGGCAGCGGCGAGCTGCCACGGCGCCATTGGCGACAAGCGTCGTGAACATGGTGGATGGTCGCCGCGACGGTGGGCAGACTGATCAGATCCTGGATCGCGCTGCGCACAGGAACGCAGATTGAGCATTGACGTTGCTGCACTTTGGCCCGGTGCCGCTTGGATCGAGGGAGATGCCCACGTTCCGGCAGTGGCCGCCAAAGGCGGAACGGAATGCCGTGTCACTCGCATCACACTGGCGTTCAGCAAAGCAGGCCAATAGCAGTCCATAGGTGGATCAGCGGCCTCAGTAGTTGATGCCGTCCGCGCCTGTTCGCTTTTCTCGTGCCGCCGGTTCCCTCCAGTTGAGCTGAACAGAGCCCTTGCGGTCCCCGGACGAATGTGCTGCCAGCCTTGTGGCCACGGTCGTCGTGGCGACGGAAGTCCAACGCAACATCGACGCCCGCAGCGCCCACGCCCCAGTGCAGCGCACGAAAAAGGGGTTTGAGCACAGCTGCGCAGAGAGTGTCAGCAGCTTGCTGATCGATGTCCGTGCTGACCGCACTTACGCTGAACCACGGCGAAGCATATCCCCGCATCCCATGGCCCCATGGTGAACGATGCAGCGCGTCTAAGAGCTTCGCGCTGTCCTGGCTTTCCTCTTGTCCCTGGTTCCCTCCAGTGCACAACCCTGTTAGCCTCTGCAGCATTCCCTCTGGGGCCACTTTTTGCCGTACAGCCAGCTGCATCTGTCAACCATGACTGGCATGCCGCAGTGCCCGTGGGACAGACTCAGGTGCGTGGCGAGTCGTGTCAGCACATACTGTTGTCCGAACTCCTGCTGAGGATGCAGGTACATCATTGACCTTGCACCGGGGCCTTGAGAAGCCATGGTTGTGGCGTGTGCAGGGCCGCTGCAGTGGTTCACAGAAGTCGGGTACGGGCTGCTGGGGGTGGTGTGCACAGCCGTTGCGCTGTCGGGGATCTTCTACCCCAGCACGTGGGGCCCGAGTGCCCTGACCATGGAAGTTAGTCCTTTTGTTGGCCACATTCAACAACTGAACGCAACATTCTTCCTTTTCGTTGGGTTCTTCGCATTCTGCGTCAAGGTGCGATGCCACAACAGCCCCGCACTGCTTGTGGAGCCCCACAGTACATTGCCAGTTGTCTGCATCGCGGGGCTGGAAGTGCGCTGTAGGCACACTCGATGCAGTGTGAACTGTTGCCATCATGGACTGTAGAGCTGCCACAGGAAGTGCGAGCCTGCTACCGTTGTGCCGCGGCGGGACTGCCCCTCACAATTGGTCTGTGCTAAAGTGTTTGGCCTGCATGTCACATGGAGACTGGAAGATGTTCTGCTTGCATTCTGCAGTCGTGGATCTCCATGTGTCCACACTAGTGTTGTCTACCATCGTCTGTGTGTGTGGATCCTGAGCATGGCATGCGTGCATCTGCGCTCAGCATTTGGTTTTTGTGTTAACTGGCAGTGGCAGGTGGGAACATATGCTGTTTGCCATGTTGACAGGATGCTGTGGCAAAGAAACGCCTGGGGTCTGCCACGTACAGGCGAATGGCCCAATGGTTAGCCTTGGAGAGGCTCGCAAACCTGGCGTTCAAGTACCCTCTCTTGAAGGCTGGCGCGGCCATGTCAACTTGGCTGGCAGCCGTCACGATTGGAACGCCCGTGGCGGCCGCGCTCCTCTACATTCTGGCATTCAACAGCCTGCCATTCAACCCTTTCCAAATCATCGGCAGCGGCCTGCAGATGGCCAGATCCCTGCTCGACCCCAAGAGCGGACCTGCCATTCTGTATTCAGTGATCACTGCGGTATTCTGTGCCTTTGTGGTTTGGTTCCTTGTGGACCCTTCCGTGGCGGGGCCCCTGACGCTGGCGAGCTATTCCCATGCCAAGGGCCTGACAACATCCCTTGCAGTTAAGGATATTGCAGTGGTGCGCGACCTGGGCCTGTTCCTCTCTTACTACGCTGCCTCAGCTTTCATTTTGAAGGACGCGGCTGACAGGGACCGGCTGGCGGCGTCCACCTTCAAGAGCCTGAACCTGACCGTTGCCACTGTGGCGCTCATCAACAGTGCATTCAAGTTCTATCATTATTGGGCTACCAAGCAGAGCATCGCCTGGTCGGTGTGGCCGACCATCTTTGTAGGCCTCCACAGTTCCTGGCACTATTTTAATGCACGTAAGCCCTCCGAGTGAGGGTGGCCCAGGGCCAGGCTTTGCTTGGATTTGCTGGGGTAGTGGCTCGTATGCCTGTCGTTAGGGCAACCAGCGCTCTGGTGTGGTCGTCTTGAGCGACCCCAAGTTCCGCAGGCTTGGGACACAAGGGACAAGGGACTGGGACGGAGGTGGACATGACGCTGTTTGTGCTGTGTTAGCAAGCTGATATTTGCAACACGGGCAATGGCGAACGTGGACGAGCTGGGGCGCCACTAGATGCGAATCGTAGCAGGCCTTGCTATCTGAATCCGCATTCCTGTACCGAGCATCGACATACCTCTGTCTCTGTCGCAGCGCAAAACTGTACGTGAGCGCATGGATTTTGCGCAGTTGTCGAGAGATAGAAAGGAAAGGTTGCACTCTGGCGAGCATGGGCCGTCCTCAACGTCCCTCTTGTTCTGGTTTGAAATCGCCCTCCTAGGCGTGAGTGCGATCCGTGCAGCGATGCAACTGGTGCCCAATGTGCCCAGGACGCTTTCCTTGACTGTCAACAGAATTGGCTGAAACGGATTCAATACAGACAGAATAGTGTGACCCTCCACACCGTTTGCTTTACGGCGGACTCACAGGTCACATGAGCCGGTTCCAACACGGCTCTGGAACCGTGCATCGAGCCCACTGCCGCAAAGAGAGAGCGGCCAGGCCAGCCCACAGCAGCAGGCCGCCCCATCATCTTCCATCCTTCCCCATCTTCTTGTCCCCGGCTGCGGTGCTTGGGCGTGCTGCATCCCATCTGGGCATCAGCCCCGCATGGATGCCAGATTGGCGGCCTTTTGCAATCTGGCCCACCTGCACTGTCTCCCCCGGCGAGACCGGGGCCGACACGTGTTCCGCGCCCCGCACCGATCTCCAAACATATAATCTCTCTGGGAGGCGTTCGCCGATTTGCGGGCGAAGCGACCGACCCGGGGCAGAGACGACGCGCCGCGCCACCATGAGGACGGGCATGTGCCTTCGCTCGCAGGCGCCCGGTACGGCCAGGCGGCGCCCACGAGGCGCCGAGCGAGATTTTTGGACTCCGCGTCCGCAGAATATAAATTGTCGCGCGACGAGGCGCTTGTTAAAATTTGCCTCTCGGTCCCCGTGGGGACATGGGCGGCCCTCTTTTCGCGCCATGGGCCGAAATCGGGAGGCGATGACGGCACGGGCATCTGGCATGGATCCCGACGCCATCGACGGCGATCGACCGCCCGCGAGACGGCGATCCCCTTTTGCTTCTCCTCTTCATTTCTCGCGGGCCGCAGGTCGCCTCGCGCACACCCTTATCCAGTCTATTCCCCTGCACGCGCACCCCCTGCACCCCTCAGACGCGACGGCCCTGCCACTTATCCGTACATCGCGGCACACGGCACCAACCCGCCTCGCTCCTTCATTTCGACCTCCTTCCACAGGCCGGCCGACCGCAGCATCTTCCCCAGCCAGCCTCAACGCCTCCCTCCGCCTTTTCCTAACCCCCTCGTCATCGCAGATCGCGCCATTCACCCCGTTCCGGTAATTTTCCTCGCCCCCGACTCTCTTGCCAAGCTTGCCGACGTGTGTTTTTGTTCTTCCCCGCGCCAGCTCCCTGGGCATTGGGCTCCCCTCTGAGGCGCGTGCCGGCTGCCGCTGCTCCGGCGACGTGCCTCCCGCGAACTCCGCAGAGGCTCGCCCGCGCGCCCGGCCGAGGAGAGCAACACGCCCCGCTGCGGCCCAAGCAGGTGCGCCGACTCTCGGGGGAGCGCCAGCGTCAGCGCCACGGGGTGCCGCGTCGGATGCAGACATTCCCAGATCAGAAGAACCGCGGAACCTGATTCGCTGGACTGGGCCTAAAGGCTCGTTGGGAGGGGCTGACGCATTCTGATTGCTGGTTTTCGCGTCTGCCGTGAGGGTCTGACTTGATGTGGCTTTGGGGTGCTCCTTGGACTTGGGAATGCGGGGATCTAGCGACCGCAGAACAGACCTGGGAGCCTCAGTAGGAAATCTCGCTGGCGACGCGTGACGCACCAGAGTCCAGAAAAGCAGCTTCCTCTCATAGGAGCCGACTGATCCCTCGGCGGCGGCCTCCTCCGCCTCCACTCACCGTCGCGGTCCAACACCACCTGTGTCACGGCCACGGCGTGGCGCACTGGTCATCAAACTCCTCGCAGTGCGGCCACCGAAAGCGCGCAATTGTTGCTGATGCTCAAGGCGTGGCGATCGGCGGTTCCTTGTGTTACCCCGTCGGAGGAGTAATCGACAGCGTGGTGTGGGTGTGTGCAGGTTGCGCCCATTGTGCCAACGTGGGTTCCGGCGGCTGCGGGAGGCGATGGTGCGCACGAACGTCGGGGATTGGGCGATGGGTTTGTGTTTTGGGTCCTGTGCACAGGATGCCATCCGATAGGCCGTTGCTCAACTCCGCGAGAGGGTGTGCAGTAAACACCCCACACGGGGCTGTCGACGACCAAACGAGGTGCCTATCACAAGGGTCAGCAAGACCAAGAAACCGCCCCCACAGCCCACCCACACCAACCTCCAGAAATATGCGTTCGCCAGACTAAGGCGAACGCTCTTCCGAAGCGTGCAGTGTGTTGGTTGTTTGGCAGACGAAGCCTATGCAGAATTCAGGATCGCGGCTTGATTACTGCTGGCGGAAGGCGGTTACGTATTCGTGGAATTGGCAGTATGCTCGTGGAGAAGAACATCGTGCGGTTATTGAAGCGACACTGCCAAAGCCGCCCGCTAAAGCAAACCGTCGCTCCCTGATGATGTCGACTTGCCACGCGAGCGCATCCACAAATGGCAACAGAATAGTTGGTTGTTTTCGAGTGGTTGTGGAGCGTGTGGCCAGGCCTGACACCTGCCTTTTGGTGGCAGACATTCGCTTGCTTGGTGTTGGCAACATGATTTGCAGGGAAACTCAGCCAAAAACACAACGGTGCTTGCCCGAAAATTCGAGACATATCAACGGGAGCGACTCTGACTGTGCCAAATAATCAGGCGGTCGAAGAATAGGATGGCTGTTGAGATTCAATCCAACAGTGCAGCAAGCAAACGCCCTCAACAGCGAGACACACGCGGGTTCCCCTTTTTCAATATGTGCTGGCGAATTGTGTCTGCAATGTGCCAAGCTTGTGTTGTTTGGAACTCACAGGCACATGGGCTACAGAGAAAGGCTACCAGTTGACCAGTGCTGTGTTTTTGGCATTCGGCGCGTTCACCCTCGTGAACCCTGGCAAGGCTGCTGAACTGAGTTGCAAGGCCTGCATGACTGAAGTGCCTAAGCACCTCCTTCGCATCCTTGGAGCCCAGCTGATCCTAGCGGCCACATTTTGTTATCGCCTGCAGGTCTGCCATTCCTTCACTTTGCATTGATGCAAATGCCCTGGATGCCCACTTTGATGGCATATATCCAATGTAGAACTCCTGCAATTGGTACAGTATGCTTAACGAATGGCAGATCTTGGAAAGTTAAAGAACAGACAATTGCACTCAAATAGGAACTGCAATCATTATGTAGCATTACTAAAATGATCCAGTCTATTGAACTGTAAATGCATGTTGTCAAGTTTTATGTCTTTCTCACTATCCAACCGTGTGAAAATCTAATTGTACAAATTGAATGTATATTATCTTTGTGGACTATACAGTGGCTCTTAGCTCTTCACTGGTGTGTGTACATCGTGTGCATAATGACCCAGTCTTCAATTTTGTATGTAAAAATATCTTATTGACGGATCCCAAGGTGTTGGGCATGTCTGTGGCACACTTGTTCCAGAGTATTGCAAGGTCGCAGAAGGAAACTAATATGCTGCTCGTTGTTACCCAGCGAGTTCGCTGGGCAATAAAAGTCAGTGTGAAAACGAGCAGCGTGACTATGCAAGAATAGTCTGAAGAACTGTAGTACGGTCAACCTGGCCGTTTTCACATTGACTTGTATTGTTGAGACATGCTTGTCTGTTGTTGCTGAACGCACGGAAAGCTCTGTAAACATTTCGTCAAAGCCTCCACCTCAATGCACAGATGCTGAACGATCCAGGGCC